TCACCTCGGAGTAGTTGCTGATCTTCATGGGAATAGTCTGACTGCTGCTGCTGCTGTTCCGGAAATCCTCCGGCTGTATTCCCACCAAACACTTAGTCAAAAACTGCTAACTGGCCTTTGGGTAAAATGACCATTTTACCCCTAATCATGCCCTAAGTCAAAGCCAGAGTCAACTTCCAGTTGACCCGACTCGTTGAGTTGGCTCGCCAACTCGCCGAGTCCATGTCCAAACGACTGACCTGAATTCTGTTTCTACTCGTCGAGTTAGGCGTCTACTCGACGAGTTCTCCTTCCAAACTGATGTTCAAGTCCTTCATCCCACTCGCCGAGTTGTATGAACAACGCGCCGAGTTCATCTTCATCCGATGAGCAAGTTATACTGTGACTCGCCGAGTTGTATGAACAACTCGCCGAGTCTGATCTTGATCTATGGAGATTGCCTTGAACTCGCCGAGTCTGGGCATCGACTCGCCGAGTTCCACTATGGGTGAGTTTTGGCTTCCAACTCACCGAGTTCCTCCTGGACTCACCACATGACTCGACATAACAAAAAGGGGACAAACCCGGAGACTCGCGACTGGACTCGCCGAGTCAGATGAGCGACTCGCCGAGTCCGCTCTATGCAAGAGCTAAAAATGCGATTTTGCTCGAATCCAATCCATGTCATTCGTAGATCTGGGCTCCTAGAGCATGAATAACACGTAAAGTTTCCAACTTTACGTGTAGATATCCATTTATGGGGTTTTTAGGGTTCAAAATGCACCAAAAGAGTAAATCTAAGATTTATATGCAATATGGGCTCATAAAGGTAGTGGATCTGAGCTCCTGGAGCACAACTATGCTTGGATCTAGGGACCAATCAACTGATTTCGAAATATTATGCACATACAAGCTTGGAAATGAGCCATGATGGACTTTAATGGGGCCATAAGCATGGAGACAAGGGGGAAAACGAGCCATAACTTAGATATCACTCTGAAATTGCTCCCAAGTGCTTGACCTCCTCTTCTTCTTCTTGATCTCCCCCTACACACTCCAATCTCCAAGAGGACACACCAAATGGCTTCAAATCCACAAAACAAGGCTTAGAATGAGGTATATGGCTCTTAGGATGAATGGGGGCTGGCTTGGGGGCGGAAAGGGGGGATTAAATAGGGTGCAAACCCCTGAAACTTAGGGTTTCATCCAACAGCGGTGACTCGCTGAGTCCAGGATATGGACTCGTCGAGTCGCCAACTTAAACGTGTCCTGGGTCCCGTCCCTACTCGGCGAGTCGGACCTATGACTCGCCGAGTCCAAGGCTTAAAAAGGAAAAATACTCAATCAATATTTACATACCAGGAACCAGGTGCTACATGATCATTTTTGGAAGTTTCCACTTTAGATATGGGCATTTTATGGCCTCTTTGGGCTTAAAGTTTCAAGCTTTATATAGATCTAGGTTTCCTTTATGTTCCAAGTCCTTGGTTAAGTCATTTTTGAGTAGTTTGGCCTCTTGGTGTCATGCATAGACGTAAAGTTAGCAACTTTACGTGGTTTTCCAGCTATTTGCTACCAAATATACATTCTTGGGAGTTACAAGGGATGAAGAAGGGTTGAATGAGTTAAGCTGGTAAAACTCGACGAGTTGGATTGGGTTTTTCCCGCTTTTTCTTTTTTGAGAAAATGTATGAACTCAAAGAGTTGGTTCAGATTTTTCCCATTTCTGTGAGTACTGAGGAAACTCGACGAGTTGGCATGTCAACATGGACTGTTGACCTTGACTTTGACCATGTATAACATCCCAATTTTCAAGACCAAAAATTTCATTTTTGATATAACGATTTAGAAAATATTTATAAGAAAACATCATCGAGTCACATCGTTTCATAAAAACATAATCACGTGTCTCAAAATCATATCATAAAAATAGTAATAATGCCAGAGTACGATCCCAAGAATCTCATAATGTGGAATTCCCGTGTGTGTGATGCGTTGCTACCGTGTTGGCTTCTTCCCCTTCGATGAAGAGGTACCTGAAAACAAAAACTGAAAACTGCAAGCACAAAGCTTAGTGAGTTCCCCCATCATACCACATAACAAACATACTGTCGGGCAATTCTGGGGTGCCGACCTACCTTGTCTGGTAATTCTAGGGTGCCGACCTACCCTCCGGTTTAACTCAACTGGCTACGGGGACTATTTCACCCCTACTGCTACCACATAGTAACATAGCATGAACATACTATTGAGCATATATGGGGTGCCCGACCTACCCTTCGGTCCTTACGACCGTAATATAGGGACTATCCCACCTACTACCTACTATCACATAACATTATATCAGGCTAGCAAACAATCATAAAAGATAACAACATACCAGATAATTATCACGAAGACAGTTATATGTACTATAACTCTTACTAGTGGGTCGGTCTTGGTGCCTTAGACCCACTTCTACTGGAAGGTAACTCACCTCAAGGTCGTGAAGTGTCTAAACTATTCTTGATGCTGGGATCAACTCCTCTCAACTCCTACACATAACAACCTTCTTTAATTACCATTTCATACACTTGAACCTTTCAAGGATCAACTCAGGTCAAAGTTAAAGTCAAGGTCAACACCTTGGTCAAAGTCAACATCTGGTTGACTCAACTCGCCGAGTTGGTCCACCAACTCGTCAAGTTCCATAAATCGCAACATCCAGAAACTTTGATCCTACTCGTCGAGTCTTTTAAGAACTCATCGAGTTCTCCTTCATACAAAATCAGGACCTTTTGCTCATGACTCGCCGAGTTCTTCCGCCGAGTTCTTCCTTGAACTCGTCGAGTTCTTCTTCATATAGCTGGGACATTCCCTTAAACTCGTCGAGTTCATCCTTGAACTAGTCGAATTCTTCGATCTTTAGGTCAATATTAATGTCCATCTTGTTGAGTCTTCTTCTAGACTCAACCAAATCAATTAGAAACCAAAAAGGTTGGGGAAACCTAACCTAACTCGCTGAGTCCCATGAACGCCTCATCGAGTCCCCCAAAGTCTATATACATATAATTGATTTCGGTTGGGCTTGATGCATCCAGAACATAGATATGACCTCATGGGGTCCATATTACACGTAAAGTCACGAACTTTATGTCCATGCATGGGTCTTCAAGCTCAAAAGACCCCAAAATGAAGCCTACAAGGTGCATGAGACTCCCATGGCCATAAAGTTGGCACCTTTATGCCTGGGAACCCTCAAAGGCCCAAGATCTGAAGTTACACCCCCTTTTATTCACAAAATCCTGAAAATGGCTTCACTAAGACTTAGAAAAGATAGAAACTAACCCTAACTAGATATCTAGGAGCTAAATGGTAAAGGTTGAAGCTTTTTACCTTAAACAAGCTGGAACTGTGACAAAACCTCCGGATCTACTTGCTTTCTCTAGATGTCCCAAGCTTCCTCTTTCTTCTTAATCTTCAAAGACACACACAAATGGCATACAAAGCTCAAGAACACTCAAAAATCGATTAGGGTTTTGTGAAGAGAGTCTGAGGGTCATGGAGGATGGAGTAGAGGCTCTATAAGTTGTTTAAATAGGGTGTAAACCCTTAAATTTAGGGTTTCATCCAAATAGGCCTACTCGTCGAGTCGGGGTCTTCGACTCGACGAGTAGATTCTTCCACCCGCATCCAAAATTTGCCTCGAATTGACGAGTTGGGGCCTCCAACTCGTCGATTCCCAAAGTAAAAGTGCAAGAATTCATATTTAAATTACATACCAGGAACCAGGCGCTACAAATCTCCCCCACTTATTTTAGACTTCATCCTTGAAGTTTGCTGTTGTATTTGGAAAAAGCTCGGGGTAATGCTCCCTCATCTTATCCTCCGTCTCCCATGTTAATTCTGAGCCCATGATCTCCATTACTCACATTTGGTTAAAACCTTAAAAGTTAACAGAAGTCAACTTGAGTCAACAGTTCATGTTGACCTAATTCGTCGAGTGCAGCAAAGAAACTCGTCGAGTACCCTCATTTCCTCAGAAGCCTCATGAAAACTAACTCAACTCGTCGAGTTGACCCATCAACTCGCCGAGTTACAACATGCTCAAACCCATCGGGATAAACCCTAACCGACTCGGCGAGTCAGCTTATCGACTCGTCGGGTCCTTTCAGACTCTTTTCTCATTCACACGTTTTTAAGGCAGAAAGCAACCCCAAACTCTAGATCTAACCTCCCAAGGCTCGAATATCACGTAAAGTCACAAGCTTTACGTCCACGCATGGCACTTAAGGGTTGAAATGCCAAAAACATGATCCATTAAGGGGTTTCACTCAAAATCTCTACTATGGCTGAATAAAGTTGGGACCTTTGGACTTTAGGTACCTCATAAGGTCTAGATCTAATGTTTAAACCTTAGAATATGCTCAAGGGACTCAATAACACAAGGTGGATGGGAGAAAACCCTAAAAACTTCCCCAAACCAAGATCTACACAAAGAATGATCAAGTTAGCATCTTTGACCTCCAACAGAAGCTAACCACTGAAGAATCTATGGATCCAAACGTTCCTCCCTGGACTAAGCCAAGATGCTCTCCAAATCTTCTTCCAAAGTTGCACAAGAACACCCAAAATAGTCTCTTTCTCTCTCACAATGGATGGAACCGATATTGGGTTACTCGCAGGGCTCTGTGGAGATAAGCGAGGCGGAAATGAGGGCTTACTTGAAAAATTAGGGTTTCTCCAAACAACTCCAACTCGCAGAGTTGTTCTCTCTACTCGCCGAGTGGGTCATTAAACCCATGCGACCCAAGACGACTGCACTCACCGAGTTAGGCATCTAACTCGTTGAGTTGCTCTGCTAAGGAACATGAATTTCTCAAATATGATACCTGGATATATCAGATGTTACAACTAAAACTTACTTAAGACATAAAACACGATTTACTCCCAATTATATTGTTTTGCAAGGTCCTTTCTTACATTGTTGAACACCCGAAGATCATCCTTAGACAAGTTTTTCCCCAATTTTAACCGAAGATTCAATACACGTTTCTTTCTTTTTTCTTTTCCCATTTCCAAGAAAGCATCAAGCTTATTATCCAACCTTCAGATATCCTCCACTTCAGTCGATGAGATTTGAGCACCTTTGAGCTTTCTTTTTTGCTTTGTCTCATCCCATAGGAGATATGACAAGTTGGAGCTTCATATGACTTATCATTATTAAAGTCAATCCCTTCGATACACTCATAAGAATATTGAATATGGGTTGACTCCGAAGTTTTGCTTCGTTTAGACATCCCCGCATAATCATCGTGACTTTTTAGATTTAGACATTTTCGATTGCTCTTCATAACTCCCCAAAACGACTCATTGGAAAAAGTTATTCCGACTTTCGCCTTGTAAATCTGACGGACTTTAGCCATGACATCCACCTCAGTTGCGCCACTTTGGGGGTTGCAGATCGTGTTCAGGTAGATGTCGTTGAACTCCATTGCGACTCGGTTGACGGTCCTCCATTTCGAGTAAAGTGAATTGGGATTGTGGTACTTCCTTTACATTTGTTGACACAAAATTAATCCAAACTTTTTCTTTGAAGGTTGTTGATTCACGTGGATCGGGTCATTCGACACATCTAGCCATGATTGTGCCAGTGCCCTCTCTTCATCATTTGTCCATCCTCTATATAGAGCCCCCTTGTCCTTTTCTTGTACTTGTGGTTCGACTTAGGGCTCTTGAAATGAATCTTGAATGAGATCTTCAACGGGGCTTTCATCGGAAGAATCATTTGTCTCGTCGAGTATGCGGCATGGTTGGGATTAAAAATTACTTTGTGGTTGAGGTTGAAAAAAGAATTGAGTTTCTTGAACTGTTTCAAACAGATCAAGATCGACATTAGGACGAGGTGTTGGTTGAGATTGGTTATGGCAAAATGCCATTGTTTGAGAAGAGAACAGATTGAATGAAAATATTTGTGGAGTCATTGTAGAGGAAAGTAGTAGCTAACAGAAGAGTGAATAGGTTGATCAAACAATGGTCGATAACATGGTGGTGATGGAAGGGTTGAGGATTGAAGGTTTGGTGATTGAGTGTTTGGAGGTGGAAGATTTAATGATGGAAGGTTTGAAGCTTTCTTTTTGTTGGTTCTTGGGGTTTTCTTTGTTTGAGATGAAGACATTTTTTTGGTGAATTGAGAGAGTTTGTGAGAGAGATAATGATTTTTTGTGTGTGTAAATTGTTGAGAGTGTGATTTGATTTATAGTAGTTGAATATTTTAATTTTTTCGAATATAAAAATGTTGTCAAAAATTAAGCAAAGCTTTTACTTTGAAGTTTGTTGAGTCACGTGGATCGGATCCCCCGACACATCTAGCCATGATTGCGCTAGTTCCATCTCTTCATCATCTGTCCACCCTCTACATGGAGCCCCCTTTTCCTTTTTCTTGTACTTGTGGTTCGACTTTGGGATCTTGAAATGAATCTTGAACGAGATCTTTGATGTGGCTTTCATTGGAAGAATCATTTGACTCGTCGAGTAGGCGACGTGGTTGGGATTGAAAATTACTTTGTGGTTGAGGTTGAGAAAATAATTGAGTTTCTTGAACTGTTTCAAACGGATCAAGATCGACATTAGGACGAGGTGTTGGTTGAGATTGGCTGTGGCAAAATGCCATTGTTTGAGAAGAGAACGGATCGAATGAAAATATTTGTGAAGTCATTGTAGGAAAGTAGTAGCTAGCAGAGGAGTGAATAGGTTGATCAAATGATGGTCGATAACATGGTGGTGGTGGACAGGTTGAAATTAAATTGAAGAAATTGAATTTGGTGAAGACCATTTGAGCAATCTGGTCAAACTCACAAACACCGATCAAATTCAACTCTCACCTGATCTCTTCTCGTCAAAAGCGTAACAAGGAACCAGTGGCCACCCCCTAGCGAGAGCTAGGGGGCGGTGTTCATTGATCGGTGATGAGCATAGTGAGCCTGGTGGCAACCCCCACTCCTCTTAGTCTTATGGATGACTTGGAGATGCTCCTTTTAAGCACCAATGAAGGGAATCGTAGTACTTGAAGTGAATACTTTTGAGGTTTAGTTTTGTATATATTTTTATGTACTTGCTTCAGTTTGATTGTATTTTGATATGGAGATGTACCCCTAAGTTAAATAAAATTCTAATGTGGGACCAAATTTTGTAAGTTACAACTCCAAGTCTCCAAGTTGTAACAATATTTTAAATTTTATACATTTCAAATGTATATTGTTGCAACAATAATTGTAGTTGTGCGGTGCTTGAGATATATCTCCAATGCAATTATTGTAACGGATATGCTATTTATAGAAAATTTTCACAAGTCACAAGATATTCCACTATACCGATAATAGTTGACTACACTTTGTCGGATTTACCTTAAACCCCTCCACATGTTGGAGATCATCAATGCAAATGCTTTTTACATTATCACAAACAATATCCTTATATTTTGGAATACTGAGCAACCATATAGAAGTTATTATAAGGAACAAAACCACTTGGTAAAGATAGGTTAACACTTATCCCCCCTTCTTTCAACCACACATATTTTTATTATATATATTAAAAATAAAATAAAATTTAGTTGTATTATTAAATATTTTACGTTATGGTATATTATATAAAATAATAAAATAATAATGTATCGGGCTTAAAATAAAGTAATTGTTACTTTTGAGCCGTTGTTAAAAACTAGGATTAGCCGGCGGCAAACCCCAGGAATCACGGACGTACTGTTCTTCTTTGGATGAGAGGTAGATATTTACATAATTTACCCTTTAAGTTTTACTAATTTTATAGATTACAACTAACTCCTAAAAGTTACAAGAACTAACTAAGCTTTTGATTGTTTTTGTTATTTACATTTCCTTCTCCAATTTCAATTTCACATTGCTCATTCTTTATGTACTTCTTTATCTATAAAACTAATGAATGTCAATAGTTAATATTAATAGATTTTTTTTTTGTCAAGTTTTTGAATGTTTTAAAATGCACCTAACTTATGAGTTTGTTATTAGTTGTATGATTTCCATTTTAGCATTTACATCTTTTAAACCTATTTTGAAGATGGTTACTTTTTCAAGATCCGTATAGGAAAACAAAATTTTATAAATATGAAGGATTATTTTGATTTCTAAGACTTGTGGGTGTGGTTTAAGCATATTATAAAATCATAACCGTCCCTTTTGTTTGACTAATTCTAATATAATTTCTTGTTAGTGTAAAATACAAGATTTATGCCTACTTTATTGATAAATTGATAAACATATGGGTGTCTATAAGATTTTCTTTTGCATTATTAATTCATACGAGCCGGATTTCATATAATTTTAGTTTTAGAGACTAATGAAATTGGTAAGACTCATTAAATTTGACGTATACTGCATGGCCATAGTCAAAACTAGTAGTGTCTATTTGTCTTCATCTCTATACTTAAATTTTATATATATATATATATATATATATATATATATTTATCTTTACTACTTATAAAAAAAATCTAACTATTTCTATAAATAGATTGAATATAATAATATTATTTTTTTAAGACGTCCAAACTATTAAGCTTGAAGTACAACCCATTTATAATATAATAATATTAAAACTTTAACCATATCCTTTATCCCTTAAAAATCTCGTATCAAATAAATAGAAGACTTCATTTGCAAATTGAACAAGTCAATCTCAACACTTCAGCCATTTGAAGTGGTCAATGTCAACAATTTATAGAGGATCTCTTCTCTCACATTGGTAACAAGCCATCTCATAATATCTATCTTCGTAATCCCTTCAAAATAAGAAATATACGCACACTCTCTCGAAGAACCCTAACCAGTAACCAAGACAGTATAACCACCACCACCACAGCCGCTCTGCCTCCTTCCACCTTCAACCAACCACTATCACGACTATCGTCCTTCCTCTCACCCACGACATGAACTTTCTTTTGGAACATAACATTTTTCTTTAAAAAAAATATCGTTGAAAGAAGCTATTTGTCCCCGTCGCTGTGCGCGGGTAACGGCTAGTATATATATATATATATATATATATATATATATATATATATATATATATATATATATATATATATATATATATATATATAGAACACAACATACAATACCTAAAATTAAGATATTAATTGGTTTGCTACCAAGTGTTCTATAAGAGTTGGTCAAAAGATGGTTGCTATTAAAATGATGAACTTGACTTGTGATTTTTAATCAAGTATTACTCAACCTAAGTACTCAAGACTTGAATATACTCTTAAAGTCCAAAAAAGTAACTGCCCACATATATATTTTTTTTCTAAAAAAATCGAATGTTTGTTTGATTTGGATTATAACTATATTTGATATGTTGGAATTCGGGTTACGATATTTGATTGATGGATAAATGATTAAATTTTAAACGATAAGGTAAGAATAATGATTAGAAATTAATATCAATAAAATCAAATTGCTTTTTAAAATTTGCTTAATTCATGACCCATCTTGAAAAGAGGGAAGGAAAGTGAGTTAAACGTTTCCTAGGTTTTTTATTTATTTATTTTTTATTTAAAGTTGATTTTATAACAAGTAGTTATTTTATATCGGAAAGATATTAAAAAAGCTAGTGAATAAAAAAAATGATAAAATAAGATAGAGATAACGATGAAGAGAATAATTTTTTTACACCTTTTATTTTTTTAGAAGGTGTTTTGATAATTGATATACTACACATAGGATATTTGATATGATATGATTTGATTTCTTGTTGAAATTGTAGATATTAGGATAAATATAAAAATACGTAACTACCACTAACTTTGATTATCTATAATTACAATAATCACTTCTAAAATATAAAAATGTATACTCTCTAAGAAAAAGTTATAAAAGTTATGGTATTTGAAAATAAGAAGACTAAAAAGTTATAAAAACAACCGTTTTGAAACAATATACGAAAAGAAAAAGATTTTGTAGTTAAATATGAACATTGATTAATAGTGTAGGGACGACATCTGCAATTTACTCTTTCTTAAATAAGGCAAGATTATGTTGTTAAAGACTACGGTTTCCTCGCTGGAAATTGGGGATTAGGGTTTTATAAATCTGTCAATGCTTGCCTTCCAACCTACGAAAATTGATTCCCTCGATTCCTACTCGCCAACAATCCTATATTCTGCTTCCTAATTATCGTAAGGGGGATTGATTTTTGGGTTCTGATTTCCTTTATTCTTGTCACAATCGCATTGCTTGCATTCAAAGTAGTTTCATCATATATGTGTGTATGCATGGTTGGGGATCTGAAGATTTCGAGGCATGTCTAGGTTATTTGGAGAAGAAACGCGACTGGTTTCCAGAATTTCGATTCTTTCGAAGAATTCGCACACATTATTGCCGATGAGTTTTGCTGGAATCTACTTTAGAATCCGATCATCAATCGATTCTTTCTACGTTGCCTGCGAAGCGTTTTCTGAACACCGCCAACTATAGTCGTTTTCTCTCGTTTTCGCTCGTTCGTTGGCTGCCGTTTTCTTCTACGTTTTACGGATCCGTTACCTTGTAATTGTTGTTACTGATGGCTTCTGGAGTGAGTTTTTTGGTTCCTGAGAATGATTTGCTTTCGAAACTGAAACTGAATGCGAGGCCAGAGCTCGAGGATGCTGATGTTTTGGAAAGATGCCCTAACAATCGTTACATTCGGGTAAGATCAATTTTCAATGCATATTGTTCAATAAGAACAAAATTATTCATAATGCTGGTCGCTGGAGTAGAAGTGTTTTCAACGTTGTTTATTCATATGCTTTGGTGAAACAAACATAAGATTGGATTCATCTCAAAACATATTATGCTATTCACTAGAATTTAACCATATAATCGTGAGTATATTATGTTATACACGTTGAAGTTTTACTATAAGGTTTATTGGCCATAGCGAGTAATTACCAGTTTCTTAGCTCTTTCTGTTTTCTTTCTTCAGTATAATGAAATGCTGGGGAGAGGAGCATTCAAGACTGTGTATGATTTCTTGACTTCTAACTCTTTTCCTTATCTATAACTTTGTATATTCTAATTGTAGATATAACTTTATTGTACTGATGATCTTCTACTATTTTGTTCTTTAACATAACAATCCTTACTTATTTAGATTTCTTTTCTTGATATGAACAGCTACAAGGGATTTGATGAAATTGAAGGAATTGAAATTGCCTGGAACCAAGTGAGACTGGATGATGCTATGCAATCTCCAGAACATCTAGAAAGAGTTTATTCAGAGGTTCACTTGCTGAGAACACTAAAACATGAAAACATAATCAAATCATATGTTTCTTGGGTGGATGATGAGAAGAAAACTATCAACATGATCACCGAATTATTCACTTCCGGGAGTTTAAGACAGTAAGTCATCTTCTTCATGTTCTTTCTCTTGTGCTTATAGACCATTTAAATCAATGAACAAGAACTAAACTATGTTCACATCTTTAATCAGGTATCGCAAGAAACATAAGAGTGTTGATTTGAAGGCTATCAAGAATTGGGCCAGGCAGATTCTTAAAGGATTGGTGTATCTCCACAGTCATGAACCACCTATTATTCATAGAGATTTGAAATGTGACAACATTTTTGTGAATGGAAATCATGGAGAAGTCAAAATTGGTGATCTTGGATTAGCAACCCTAATGCTGCGCCCTACTGCCAAAAGTTTAATTGGTAATTGATCAATCAATTCATATCTTTTCATTAATCTCAATCTAGCAAACACTTTAATTGGTTTGTTTCATTACAGGAACTCCTGAATTCATGGCTCCAGAACTCTATGAAGAAGAATACAACGAACTTGTCGACATTTATTCATTTGGAATGTGCATATTAGAGTTGATCACTTGTGAATATCCCTACAGTGAATGCAGAAATCAAGCACAAATCTACAAGAAAGTTTCTTCAGTAAGTGTTAGTTATTATCTTTTATGTTTCATCATTCATGTTACATACAGACTTGTAATTATAATTTACATATATGAAAATATGTTTTTCAGGGTATAAAGCCTTTGGGTCTATCAAAAGTGAAAGATCCAGAAGTGAAGGAGTTCATAGAGAAGTGTTTGGTTCCAGTTTCTGAAAGGCTACCTGCAAAAGAGCTTTTGAAAGATCCATTTCTTAACCCTGATAGCAACATGAAGGAGCGTGTATGCCAGCCTGTCAAGATAAAGTCAACAAACTTACCAAAAGTCAACCTGTCTCCAATGGAGATTGATAATAAGAGCAACACTAGCAGCAGCAGCAGCAGCCCACGTCTTCATTCCCTTGAGTTGCAGTGTCTGAATGAGAGAAATGAAATTAGACTCAGAGGGGAGAAGAATGAAAATAACTCTATCTATTTAAACTTGAGAATAGATGATTTCACTAGTAAGAAATCAACAAAACATAAACAACCATTCTTTTTATTTATTGAAATATATATAATTTTATATATTTATGTTTGTTTTTAACAGATACAGCGAGGAACATTCAGTTCATGGTTTATATAGATGTGGATACAGCACATTCAATAGCTCTTGAAATGGTGGAACAGCTGGATTTAATACATGAAGAAGTTGCTGTCATTGCTGAGCTGATTGATGAACTGATGTTGAAATTTGAGCCAACGTGGAAACCTTCAGTCCCAAAATCCAACTCAAGTGGAATCATAAGCTCTTCGGAAGGTTCTATAATCATGTCCAATGATGACATGTCGCATGAAGATTGTGAGGTGGAAGAAGATGCGTGTGAAGATTTGAAGCAAGAACTTTATGATATTAATGCTCAGTATGATCAGTTTTGTAGTGAGTTATTGAAGTGCAAGGAATCTGCGATTGCTGATGCTAAGAAGAGACATGTGTTGAAGAAGAAGGTGGTGGTTTTTTGACTTTTGGTGTAAAGACTTATTAGCTTTTTAGAGATTTGGATTATGGCTTTGCTTTGTTGGAGGTTTTGTTTTTTCTGGTGATTTGGGTGTTTTGATTTTCTTTGATTTTTTTTTTTTAGGTTGTAGAGATGTTGGTTTGGAGGTTTTGATGAATTCTTTGATGATGATGATGATAATTGATTAATCTTGAATTGTTTTTTTAATATAATCTCTTGTGTCTTTTTGCTTTTGTTCCGAGTTCCATTACTTTAAATATTGTTGTCGAACCCTAGCGCTATATTTGACATACTAGTTGAAAAGTTATCAAAACTATTTGATAAAAAATAACGATTGGTAAAAAACTAGTTATAAGATATAATAAGAGATAAAAAGGAAATTTAAAAGAATATATAAGATTTAACAAAATTCCCGAGAAGCTAGTTTTTTTAAAAAGCTAGTCTATGACACTTTAAAAAAGTTCAACAGCTAGTGTGGCATACTAAACACAACCGAGATCAATTCTCATTGATATTCATAGTGTTAAAATTTGTCTTAAAAGTTGAATTAATGTAAAACAAAGGACATGTTTCTTTTTTTGTTGAGAAATAACACAGATTACATACATAAAAGAATCACCATACCAAATGATGAGAGATCATTTCATTTACACCCTTTGATTTACAAGAACAAAAAAACAAAAGCTGTTCACTTGTTCATAGACTTCCATTAATGCAAGGTTAACAAAGAAAACACTTTCCAATCAAATACAATATATTATTGGATAGCATCAACACAAACTAGACATTTCATAGAATATGAAAAAGGGATTTAAAATTCATCACTACCAATTCTCTTTCACAATTTTGGACTTCTCAAGAATGATTTTTCCTTCCTTGTACTTTTGTGATTCTTCATACGCGCGTTCATATTTCCATCCCAACACCTCACGACAATCAGAGCAGTACACATCAGCAACCGTGTGGAGACCCGTCATTAGGTGTCTGTCTTCTTTTGGCCCCATGGAAACATTCATTGCATGGGAGAACAAAAAAGCTCTACCATTTCTCCCCTAACATCAATAAAAAAAACAAAAACCAATTTCAATCCAATGTTAAGTACCTATAAAATCCACAATTATAATAGCTAAAGAATCTCCATAACTTTTGTAAAAAAGTTGTTTTTCCAACAAACACATGAGGAGCATTATGTGAGATGTAAATCAGGTACAACTGCGCTGAACTGGTCAACACTGACTTGTACTAGGAGCATCATGTGAGATGTAAACTAGGTACACAACTTACCACTAGATGACTTACATAAATCAAAGTACATAGTGGCCCACATAAGAGCCCAATCTACATCAAGAATATACATAACAGAAATATCATGAAAACCAACAAAAATCCCCTCTTTCTAAGCATAGATTTAAATCAAGAAACATCCTTTTACTCAAAATAGTCTACCACTTCTCATGTTATTTCATGGTTTCTGTTTCTTGGAGCTAAATGCCACAAACCCAGATCAAGAATCATAGAAAAGGTTTAAGAATTTTCTCATTTACATATTTATATGTTTGCATAGGGATGATAAGGCTTATATGACATAATACACCTAATAATAGTACAAAGATGCAGATACTTGTTGATTATTTGATCTCTCGAACACCATTAAGGGCATAAAATTCATCTATAGCTTAAGTTTTAATCCTTTTTCATCTTTAGTTACTTGTTTCCACTATCGATTTGGGCTAAAGGTGTTAGATAAAAAGAATCCACCATTTCAAGAATTGTAAAAACCCACAGTTGATCTAAAAAGGACTTCACAGATAAAGCATGAATGAAGTGTAGTTGAAGAATTTGATCCGTAATTCTTTAATAACCTTTACTTTACCTGAAAAGCTTTAGAAATAACATCATCGTGAAGGGCAACATGATTTCGACAATTACAGCAACAGTATAACCTCGGACCAATCATTTCCGCCATTGATGAATGATGATCAAACACCCAAAAGTTTATCTCAAATGACTTTTTGTCAATATCAAATCTGCTGGCACAATCAGGAAGATACCCAAAATCAGATGATCACTCAAACAAAGAAAGAGAAATGAAAAAAAGTAACCCCTTTTTCCAATTATCCTATCCACAAGAAAAATTGATACGTAGCTTGTACGCAGTTCTTTGACCAAGTATATCCGCTTTAAAGAAAGTGATTTTACGAAAAAAGATAAAGAAATTGAAATGGGTAATTACTAATTAGCGTAATCATATGATTAAGCTCAAGAAAGCATAAAAGAAGATGGAAATTAGGATTAACGAAAGCGTACCCTGTAACTGAAAGAAGCTGAAAGTGAAGAACATGAGGATTGAAGGTGTGAATTCACTCGACTTGTTGTGTATATGTAATCTACACGGAAATTTGTAAATCTGTGACGTGGGTGTTTGAATTTTGTGAATTGGAATTGGAATTGGATTTGGGATGGTAGGGTTTTCTTGTTTTTGGACATGGAGGTACGTCGGATTTTAAGTGGGTTCTTGTAAATCGATTTTTGATTGCCGACCCCTTTTGAATTGTCGTATTTATCCATCTGCCTTTAGACACTTTTTTTCATTTTGGTTCATTTCTCTACATTATTGGGGTTGATTGGAACATGTCGGTTGGTGAAATCATAAAGAAAACAACCCATTTCACTTTCAAACTTTTCATTTCAAGAAAGATTTATTCTTTTGGTTTGGGCTTGCCGACCCCTTCGGCCTTTTACTCGCTTTTTCACTTTGGGGATTAATTTGGCTTGTAAAATTTGACCAACTCTAATAAAATGCATGAAACTAAATTCAATACACTTAATGGGGGAGGAAACAATGGAGAAAGATAGAATAAAAAGTAAAAAGTACATGTCAAAAGTAGGTCTGACGGATTGGTGGGTCAAAAAACATAAACTCAACCGAACCCATATAATATATGGGTTGATGGGTTGGAAACCTCAACTCAACCCAACCCATATAACCCATTTAAATATATGGATTCACGGGTTTACAAGTTAATGGATCAAATCCAATCCATATAACCCGTTTAATAAATAAGCAACACATTTTAAAAAATGAGGTTTTTTCCACGTAAATTCATCAAATAATTAAAATAATTAACATAAAAAAAGTTTTCAACATAAAGTCATTAAGTCAATAACATCCAAATAAAAATGAAAAATGAAAACATTCAGTGAAAGTGGACGTGTTCTTCGTTGGTGACTTGTGAAAATAACGACATATATTTTTTTTCTTTTATTGATTAATGAACTACAAACGCAGATTAGTCACATACGAATACGGAAAGAACACAATGATACATAATATTATGAATACGGATGGAAATCAAATTTCATTAATAATTAAATATATCATTTTTTAGATGTATTATATATATATATATATACGGGTTGGCGAGTTGACCCAAGAACCCAAACAGATAACCCAACCCAACCCATGAAATAAACGGGTTGGTGGGTTGACGAGTTGGTAGGTCAAAAATCTCAACCCAAATTCGTCTATTTTTAGGTTGGGTCAGTTTCGGGTTACGGGTTGGATCGAGAGTTGTCATCCCTAGTTAAAAGAAAGTCACACTCTTGTAACAAAGAAAACTACTCAAATACATTAAGGGGGTGTTTGGCTTAGCTTTTTAAGTTCAAAAGTCATTTTTGAAAAAAAAAAAAGCAAAAGATGTTTGGCAAAGTTGGTTTTAAAAGTTACTTTTGGATTTTTATACAAGGAAAATGAACTTTTTGGAAAAGTCAGGAAATACTTATTTTTTGTAACTTTTCCAAAAAGGACTTTTGGGCTTTTAAAAGCTAAGCCAAACACCTCCTAATTCCAAACCTCAAAATTCTTCTACTTAGATCATGTCTTTTGAAATAAAGTCATACTTCTTCACATCTAACCTAATATGATATTCTCGCTTCTTTTTAGGCTCGTCCTTCCCTGCTCATATCATAAAAAAAATACCATCTCCACCTCTCTAAAGGTGATACAAATACGACAAACATGACTTTTAAAAGGCTTAAGAAAGTATAAATTGTTGACTTTTTTTGTGATAGTTTTTGAGAAGTAAATTGCTTTGATTTAGAGGGTTAGGAAACACATCACAATCATGTTGGGGGAGAGTTTAGTAGGTGTTACACCGTAGCAACACTGTTCTTTTGTATTTGTGTTTTGTCTCAGTTTTGGTTCTTGCTGGATTGAAAGATACCCTCTTCTCATTTGGCCGTACACTATCACCCGGATAGTGGAACTACATAAATAAGTGTATTGTCGTATCATTAGTATTATTTATTTTGATTGATTATGTTGTATTTATTTGAATAATATAAGTCAATGGTTCTTGTGTATTCTTATTTTGTAACATCTGACTTTTGATGTATACTTTCTTTTAATTAAAATTGATTTTTTTAGAGTTTCCATGACGTTTCGAGGCATCTTTGGGTCGCGAGTCTCTTTTGACTTGCCACGACATGGCAGGTAAAGGCTATGATGTGGCCGCCGCTGACACCTTAATCCTAATTTTTCGGGTATTTAAAGGGAAGTGGGAGGCTAGGGTTGCTCATCCTCAACCTCCATCACTCTCAAACCCTCCATAAACCTAACTTTAATCCTCCTTGGTGCTCTTATGCTCATTTTAGCAAACTTGTGGTGGTTTTGAAAGAAGAATGAGAAGAGCTAGCATCTTGGTTCAGTAAACAATCCTTTCCTCCATTTGTGTGCATCTTCTAGACTCTATGTAAGTCCTCAAATTTCAACCTTTTTGTGTTCTTCTTCATAGATTTAGGTTTTGGAGCATGGTTTGGTGCTTTTGGAGTGGTTTGAGTAGTTATAAGAGATGAAGTTGCAACTTTATGGTTTCTCTATGTCCCTTGAGTGTTATAACTCATAGATCTGGAATTTTGTGGTATGAGCTATGCATGGATATTGAGTCATATTGTTCCTTTTTGACCTAATTTAAAAAAGGTCATGCATGGGTCACACACGTCCATAAAGTTTGGATTTTTATGGACAATTAGGGTCCTAGAAGCATTTTGGAGAAGTTGGACTAACAACCCTCGGGTTAAGTGCTTAATGGTTAAGTCTTTGCCATTTTTAGCCTTATGGAACCTAGATTTAGAGATTTTTTTTCCTTTTGGGTGGACTTAATGGATAAAGTTGGAAGCTTTATCCTTCTAGGCCATATTTCAGAATAAATTTGAGCTCTGGAGCTCTTGGGGCTGAAGGAGACATCTTAACCTATTAAGTTGTTTTGAATCCAATGCCCATGACGTGGCATCAGGTCGCCACACCATGACGACTGGGGTTGAATAGATTTTCTTATCCTAATCTGATGCTACGATGTGGCCAAGGATGGCCATGACGTGGCGAGTCGATTAAGCTAATGTTTGACTGTTAACTTTGACATTTGACTGTTGACTTTGAGGGTTGACTCTTGACTTGCTGTCTTGGGTAAAATGTCTAGTTTTAGAAGGTAGACTAAGGGTCTTCCCTGTGTGTTACCTAGGTGGCATGTAGTTTAACATCCCAAAAATTTCAATAAATTTAAACATTTCAAAATAGTTCATTTACTAATAAAATTCTTTACAAAACCGTTGTATCCAAAACATGATTTAAAATCAAAGTCTCTCAAGATCCAATCATTAGTAAAAACCAAAGATGTGTATGGTTACGCATTCACCTCGTCACGATCCTCTGAAAAACTTGAACCATAAACTAAAACTGTAAGCATGAAGCTTAGTGAGTTCCCCCAAAGTACCAACACACAAACATATAACATATACAAATAACTGTTGGATTAATGTCTAAGTCCATAACTATAATTGGTAAAACTTGACCCGACCCCGCATGGTCCATTTGGGTTGCATGGCATCATGCACTTGGATAGACTAAAATGAGAGAAATAATACTTAAGGTTTATTAATATATTATAAGTTCTAATATATTAATAAGGTTATTTAATTAGTATTGATCAAGAATTAATTTGGAATTAATTAAGTGATCAAAAGGAGACTAATTAAATATATGGGTTGATTGAGTAAATCATTCATTCTTATATATGTGAGCTTGTGATACAAGATTCCTTATGTTGGACTAAGTCCATGGGGTTGACCTATGGATGCTCCATGGAGGTTAAAATCCATGGAGCATAAGGAATGGGTAAAGTCATGAGTTACATAGTGTAACCCTAATAGCCACCATATAAAAGAATCCCATGGCCCAAGAAATCGTACACTATATGTGTGTGTGAGAGCTAAACGATTTCATGGAGTGTTCAAGTTTCTCTAAGTTATTCCAAGTGCTTATGGTGTTGTGTGAAACATTTGAGGTGTCACACTTGGGGCACTAGGCACTCAAGCTTCATGAAGACAAGCACCAACAAAAGGTATGTTATTCTAACTTGTGTCATTCAAAGTTTTGTATGCTAGAATAGTACAATACCTTGGAAAGTTGATATTTGCATGTATAATAGAGAAAACATAGATCCAAGGTATTTAGGGTTGCATGTACACTTAGGAGTGTTAGATTGCTCAAAACCCAACAGTGGTATCAGAGACAAGGCTTGTTTTCTTGTTGTACTTGCTTAAACTGCTTAAAAATCGACTTTTGGTGCTGTCTGCCCAGCAGAATCGCCGAGTCCATGAAGGGACTTGACGAGTCCAAGGCAAAATGCATCCAACTCGTCGAGTTTGTTCATGCACTCGACGAGTTGGACCCCCAGACAACATATTTTCGAGTTTTGGTGCTGGAATTGGTCTAGAATCATTACCTTTGACTGTTTTGGGCTTATAAAACTTGTTTTGAATGTGGTAATGATTATGTTAAACCAATTTCAATGCCATAATAGAAGTTTCAAGTTTATATGTGTTCATGTTATTCTTGAAAATTGTTGATTATGAATGATCATGCTTATGAGTTTTGTTAGATCATAGGAATTGTGTGCAAATAGTTTGTTGATATAATTCATGATCTTGTTGAAAATTGTATGGAGTTCATAACTTGTCCTCAAGTTATGAATTTTTCAATAATTTTATGTTTCCATGATTTATGAGTTATTTTAGATTGATAATGAAAAAAATTATGTTTTAGTTGTTTTCAATCCATATTAGTCTAAAAGAAGTTCATAAAATATGTTTTTGTAACTTGTCTTCAAGTTATGTGAAAAGTCATATTTATGAATCTTAAAAACTCATAAAAGTTTTGTAGGTTACATAAAATGTAAGAGTTTTTTCATTAAATAGTTTAATGACTCCATAACTTGTCCTCAAGTTATGGATGTTGAAGAGACACTTCTTTAAAGTGTTTTTAAAGAATAAGGGGTTACATTAAAATGAAGAGTCTTCATTTTAATGAACCATTAAACTCATAAGTTATGATTTAAAGAGTCTTGAAATAGTTTCAAAACTTGCCCTCAAGTTTTGGAATTTGAAAAGTTACTCCTCATGTATACTTTAATTCCAAATTGAACATTGAATTTTTAAAAGGTTTAAAATTCAACCCTTATACTATTATTATAATTTTAATTATATAGATATGTATAAGAGGAAGTCAATCT